AGGGACGCCAAATTGGAAGCATGATGCGCGTGGCCACTATTGCCTTTCAAAGTGGCTACACGCATCCAAAGTTTCCACTTTCAAGTCCAATAGTGACAACTCCTGAGAATTGACAAATTTACGAGAATTGCGCGTGGACACTTTCAAAGGCAAAAGTGGACACTTTGCTGACATGTCATCCACTATAAATAGATATTAGGAATTAGGGTACGAGACTTTTTTTACACTTTACACAATTTTTCTTTGCCAAATTGAGACATTTTCCCATAACACTAGAGTCTTGGGTGACAGCTAAGGGTCCTTTATAGGTTTTAATTTCCAAATTCCCTTTTGATTTTTGTTGAATTTACATTAATGCTTCTTACGTTCTTGCATTTCTTTCTTTCATTTGTGAAGCCTATCCACATGGAGGGCTAAACTTCCTTGTAATTCCTAGTCAATGCACATGAATCTTGAATTCTTGGGATTAATTGCAATACAAATCTTTCTTTCCTTGAATTTATTGACCCCAATCTTTGAATGAAATGGAATTTGCATGAAGGAAACATTGCTTAATGAACCCCAAATTACCCAACGAAATTCTAATTCAAAATTGCTTAATTTTGATTAATCCTTGAGGTTGCTTAATCTTAGGGATAGAGATTGGAACCCATTAAGATGCTTAATTTTAATTGGGATGTTAAAGTTAATTTTTGCTTGTTAGATTAACTTAATTCAAGGGAAAGAAAGGGGATTATTGAATCATTTGAAAGAATAATGATGGAACTCATTAATTGACTAGGAATTACTCATTTTAATTGATTGAATTTTACTAGTTTACATTTTGCTCTTGATTAAAATTTAAAAATTGACAAACCTCCCCCCAATTTACTTGCTTTAAAATATATGTTCACACTTGTTCGATGTATGTTCCCAACTAAAAATTCCTTGGAGATGACCTAGGACAACACCCTAGTACTGCATTTATTTCTTTGCATATTTGATGAGGATTAACGATAATCTTTTGCATGACGAGTAGCTAAATTCGTTTCATCACCAGTCATTCTCTCAAAGAGAGCACCAATTGATACACCTAGCTTAGAGAATCAGAGAGAAGATTTGGAATCAATTCATTCATGACCTCGCACCAAAAGTGAGTAGCACATATATAGTTGATTACAAGGAAAAAGACAAACAATATAACAAATAGATAAGAATTGGTAAATTGCAACGTCCCAACAATTTAGAATCTAACTAATCTTTCCTATCTTTGCCTCTGCTCTTGCGTTTTGGAATGTCTACCACGAATGGACCTATCTACTTGGGTTGTCCAGCATTCCTCTTGGGCCTCAAGGTATTGATCTGCTATCTCCTCAATGGGATCCACCTCGTCATCCTCAAGCCCACGTCTCATGTCTTCATCTTCATTCATATCATAGATGCTCTTAGTTTATTATCCAAAAAAAAGAATAATTAGCTGCTTTAGTAAAGCAGAAACCAAAAGATTTTATTATTGTTTTAGTATGACTAATTAGCATACTAAACCAAAAAAACAAATTTCGATAGGAAATCAAAATGGCTCAGTTTTCTTGAAAGTACAGAGGTGCTCTTAGAGCAATGCTAAAAAATCTTCAGCTTTATGTATGTGGATGGAATACTATAATCTACCAAGTATTGCTACCAGGAAACATGATACATGTAAAGCTAAACATCAAAGATTCCTGCACCTTCCCCCAAAGGAGAAAATTCTTCTGAAGTGAATTTGTTTCCAACATCTTAATGAGTCAATATCACCACATACTTCAAATTAAAATAGCAATTAGATAACTCTTTACCTTCTCTCTCTACAAACAAAGTCACTTTGGAGAAGCCTTATCGGAGCCCGAAACACCAGAATAGCAGATAGTTCTAAAGTCAAGTACGGAATATATAAACAATATCATAGTGTAAAAGAAATTGAATGAGCAAGGCCCTATCCACCACACTCTTCCCATATTCAGTGTAGTGGATAACATGAAACAACAATTTTACGCCAAATAAGAGAAGATCTCCAGGTTTTGTATTTTCATTCTAGATAAGACTAAACTCCCACTTTAGTCCTGAGAGAGTTTCAGTCCAGCATTTTAGTTCCTGAGTCAGAATCTTACTTGGCAAAAACAAGGTCGTTTTTGAAAGTTGGGGTGACACTTTTAATTGCCAAAAGGTGTCGTTCTAATCTAAGGACCCATTTGCCAAACATTGATCATACATTTGGACTTACCACCACCAATGTCGAAACTTCCTTGCTCCTTACTACCTCCTAAACTCGGAGGATTCATCGCCATGTGAACCACCGCAGTGACCCTGACCAAGAAAAAATTATCAATCCCAACAAAAATATGAGATATTGGAGCCACTTGCTTGCCTAATGAATTCCCTCCCAGCCCATACTTAGATTTCACCTCAACATGAGAAGGTGGAGCATGAATGCTCTCATCACTGATTGTTCTCCATGGGGTAGACATACCATCAAGGGTCTAATACACATATCATAATTAGAAGAAGTCCTCACAGTACTACGGAACATCCAAAATAAAAAAAAGTAAAACATTACTAGGGGATGATACACACATCCATTAATAAAAAAAATCTCATCAAACCAATAGAAAACAAAAATCATGCACAATTAAAAGCCACAGATCTAATTTTTTTATCTTGTTCGTCGCCAAAATATTACTTAGGGTTCTTTGTCCCCAAAACAAAAAAATAACTCAATGAATTAAGAAAAAAAAAATTTCACCTAATTCTCTATTTGTTGGCCCTTCTTCCACTATAACAAACTTCAATCTTTAAATATTTCACTCCCAAACATAACTACGAACAAAAATTTGAGCAAGATTCTGTGTGCACTTAGGGTAAGGTTCTTCTTTAACACAAATGAGGAAATATATCATTTAGTTTAGGCAAGAAGAGCTTCAATCAGAACGACACAGTTTTGCAATTAAAAGTGTCACGCTAACTTCCAAAAACGACACTGTTTTTGCCAAGTAGGATTCTGATGTAGCATTTAACTTGAAAACTCAGTCTTCTGGATTTCTTAACGGAGTCTGACGTCAAGGACTATAATGAATGACGGAGAAAGAAGTTGAGGACTAACATGATATTTTAAATGTTTTAGGAACTAAAATGTTGGACTCAAGTTCTCAGGGATTAAACTGAGAGTTTAATCTTCTAGATAACGTTATGAGGTTAATTTGTTAACATGTGAATTGAACAATTGGTTCATATAAGGTCAAACTGATTATAATGTGTAAATCTAGCTGTAAATTGAAATTGTCTAGCTGGTTTTATCCAAAACATCCTATTAAAACCATTTTGTTTTTTTCCTATAAAAAACATCTAATATACTGAAGAGGTTGTCACAAATTCTATTTCTCAAGCTTCTAATATTATGTTGTTTCCACTAGCCCTTGCTTATCAAGCTCATGAATCCTGGAAAAATGAAGAGAGTTAAAGAGCTGATTGATGCCATTGAAAAGTTACAAAACTGTTTTGGTTAAAAAAAACAGTTTTAAACAAAATATAAATTTTTAAAATGAGTTTTAATCTAGTTTTAGAAAAAAATAAAATAGATTAATTTAAAATCAAATTCATATAATTAGATTATAAATAGATTTAGATTAATTTTGTGCCAATCCAATTCTTCCCAACCCCACTTTACCGTTTATAATATATTAGTCTTTATTATGACTTTGAGCAAAGCTTAGCTTACATTAGAAATTTGGTTGTTTGTGCACAAAATCCACTAATTTACCTTTACCACCTGATATTTGGAAAGGGGAGCGGAATACAGGCTTGTTTATTATTATTATCCTCTAAGAGTGCATTACGTACAATTGGATTATTTTAAAAAAAAATTGTTTGCCGAATTACAATTGAAGAATGTTCAAAACAACATAAAATTAATTAGAACTTTCTGTGTTGAGACTCCGAGCAAGCATATTGTGCCACCAAAGTTTCAAGGTAATTGTGTAACTCTATGACCCATTTCTCCGAGAAACAGTCACTTGGATACGCTACAATATGGGAACATTATGAAGCACAAAATGAAAGAAAGAAACCATTGATAGATAAAATGAAAAACGAAAGTGACATCCAAGCACAAGCCAAGATGGGAATAATGTGCCATAGGAAAAAAGAGATCAATGATGCCAGTAATTCACGTAGAACAAGAATTTTCCTTCCTATGAAAAATACTAAATAGCACGCGCTGGCTTTCAATCTGTAAACTCTGGACAGACATGAGGCCATAAAACCTGAAAATCATTACTCAAGTAAATCATCCCATTATATTCATTCATCCCCCTAGCAGTTATGGATTAGTATTTTGTTCAAGTTGAGAAGGTTGCTGTCATATCAGTACAGTAGCCAATTGTAATTACTTAGTTTATTAACAGTAGAAAAGAATAATTATATGTTTTAGTAAAGTAGAAACCAGAAGATTTTACTACTGTTTTAGTATGACTAATTAACTGACTAAATAAAACATACAAATTCCAATAGAACATCAAAATGGCTCAGTTTTCTTGAAATAACAGAGGTGCTCTTTGAGCAATACTAAAAAATCTTCAGCTTTATGTATATAGAACACCACAATATGCCAAGTATTCCTACCAGGAAACATGATACATGTAAGGCTAAACATCAAAGATTTCTGCACCTTCAGCCTGAAGGAAAAAACTCTTCTAAAGTGAATTGTTCTGCAAATTGAGAAAGTAAGAAGTTTATCTATCTTTGGATCTTTATGAGTCAGTATCATCATATACTTCAAATTAAATTAACAATTAGATAACTCTTTAGTTTCTCAGTTTACAAACAAACTCACTTTGGAGAAGCTTTACCCAAGCCTGAAACCAGAATAGCAGATAGTTCTAAAGTCAACTACATAATATAGCAAAAATATAATAGGGTAAAAAAAAATTTGAATGAGCAAAACCCTATCCATCACACTTCCCATAACATCCACTTTCACTCTTCCCTTCCCCAGGTAAACAAAACAGAATTCCAATTTGTCAATTTTGGGAGAGGCATCAAGCATGAAGGGAACTGAAAAGAAATGTCAAAAAGGAGATCGGAAAACTTGGGTTGTGGTTAATACCCTATCCTTCAAACTATCAAAAACGAGGTCTTCATCAAATATGAAGGAATCGTTTTGATTCCAACTCCCAAGTCCCCACCCTTGAATCTATGAGAAGCAGATCAAGGTACCCAAAAAATCAGATTCTCTTGTAATTACAATGATTTCCCTAATTAGCAAACAAAACAATTCAAATTGGTAATATACAACGAAGTAATTGAATTGAATGGAAATATTACAAAACTATTTTTACTTTATTCGAAAGAAGGGTGTGAAATAATACAGAAAAACTGTGATCCGTATAAAAACATGACGAGAAAGTGTTTAATTTGAAGTGATCTGAAGGGCTTTGGTCTTGAACCTATATCTAGGGGCTCTGGGGATAACTTGGCTAGGTCCCATGTGAAATTGACCGGGACTGTTGGTAAGAGGAGGGCCATCATCGTAAACATAACCAAGAAGATGGGCACAACTATTGCACTTGATCTTAGTCCTCTTCCTCTGGATTCCCCAGTAGTTAACGGTCTCAAAGAAGGGTCGAATCTTGTCCTCCTTCTCGAACTTGAACTTGGAAGCATCAACGGCAGAGAAGGAAACGGAGTCTTTGTTGCCGGCTTCGAAGTAGAAATCGGGTGGGTATGCGTAGATGGCGTTGAGATTGAGGTTGGAGCCGCATTCCATACAACTGTAGACAGAGGCCATTGTTGTTGTTGTTGTTAAGGTTTTTGTTACTAGAGAATGGTTTTGTACGAAACCAGCCAGCGACTTGTCTAAAGTCCAAACCGCGTCGTTGGGGACAAATGCTTGCTTCTGGATGTGTTGTGCCGTATACAAGGGGCAGCCGGCAGGTCCGGTATGGATAAATCTTAAATTTCAAGAACTTTTTTTAATATTTAATTATATTTTTTAAAATATATTTATAATCCTCATATTTTTAGTCAATATTTTAATTTAATTTCTTCAAATGATTTTTTTTAATTCCTCTTTTTTATAAACTATTATCTTGAATTCATATTAAAATTTAACAGTATTTCAATAGATGAGATTAATAATATAAATTTAAAAATTTATAAAAAAATAGAAATTAGAATAAAAAAATTATTTGAAGAGATTAATTTTTTTTAAAACGTAAGAATTAAAAATAAGCATTAGTTTATATTTGTTATCCTTTTATAGTATGAGTAAATTGTTTTTTTAATGAATTCATCATTAAATTTTTAAGAGACAGATTTACAAGTTTACGAAAGCAAGTAGAATTTGAAATTAGTCAAGGGAGAGTGGGATGATATTTTTGTTGCGGAGTTAATTCATTGTTTAGTTAATTAGTCACTGATTAACTAGCAGTTGGAATTAGTGACAAGTGTCATTCCCTACTATCCAGGATCAACAGAAGTATGCAGGGTCATTTTGGGGATAAAGATTACATGGATAAAGACAGGAATGTTAAAACATCCTCTCAAGAAAGGTAATAGTTGCACTGATTTGGCATGCCCCTCTTCATCGAATATAGTCACGTGACATGATTCTTGGTTGCTCAAACCATTAAATTTAAGTCTTTATTGCCCTTCAATATCTTAAAATTGGTTGGGATAGTGATTTATTATAGTAAAATTTACCTGAAAATATCAAGATGGCATAACTATCAATATCTTGGGCCATTATTAATAAACTCACATGGCATTACACTCTTGGGACAGAATTCATGATAAAAAGTATATTTAAGTTAGATTTACCATAGATCCGGATCTCTCAATTGTAAACTCACTACAGAGAGATTTTGTTTTCATCCTAACAATCACATTAAAATATATTATGTAATAAAACTTAGTATTATATTAATATTTTCAAGGTTTAAGATAATCTGTAATAAAAATGTTACAGCAAAGGATAGTGCTTATTGAGTGAGAGTTTGAGGCAAGTTTGACAAATTATTCAATTTAAGTTAGTGAAAAACTTGCAAAATAATAAAATAATTTAAATATAAAAAAATAAAAAACAAAAAAGTGAAGTTAAAAAAATGTGTGAATACTAAAAAAATAAAATAATAGAGACTATTTTTTTTAGTTAAATAAGAAAAAATTATGCAAATAAATGCACTATAAGTGATGGAGGTGGAGACTACCAAAGATATGATACTAAGAAAGCTAGTAGAATAAAGATACAAATTTTAGAATTTTTTATTTATTTCACAAAACAAATATTTAAATATGAAAAGTGATAACTTAAATAATCTCAATTGTTGGCCATTTAAAATATTTTATTTATACACTTTTTTCTTTCACACCCCATTGCAAAAAATTATATTTGTATAAGTCGAAGACATAAGGAAAGTATTCGTTACTTTGACATTGGCATTTTTGTGAATGTTCTCATATGTGATGAGGTAATTTAAGCGAACTGGTTGGATTTCTGCAATGAAATATTCCAATGCTCAAATAAGAAGAAGTTTAAGGTAAGATTTTTTGTGTAAAGCAAAGATCATGCAGCGTATCTGAGTCAAGTTTTCTTTTCTTTATACAGACGTCACATTGCCTCTTGATTAGAGTTTTCATACTTGACTTGAAGTGGATCACCGAGCATGGGCTGCATAGCTATAGTTTGATGTTCATAGCAGATTTTGGATAGTTTTGGTTCTTTCAAAATAGCGTGTATGCCTTCTTAAATGACAAAGATTTTGGGCATGCAAAAACTATATGACATGACAAGTATTGTAAGCGTTTATTTCCTTTAAAATGTAGTGAATTGCTATGGCAGGGTGTTGGTTTTGGAGTGATTTAATTACGATTATCTCCTAGTCCAACGTCAACATATATTACTCCAAAATAAAAATTATATAAAAATGAATTTATACTTAAAAATTAACTTATTATTTGAAATTATAATTATTTAACTTTTTAAAGATAAGTTTAACCAATAAATATTTTTTTATGCAGATCAATAATTTTACAAAAAATTTGTCATACATTCTTTTTATTTATAAAAATAATCAATATTAAAATAAATTTAATTAAAAAATTTGATAAAATAATCTAAAGTCAAAACATAATTAATATTAAAATAATTTTGATAAAATAATCTAAAGTCAAGTTTATAAATACAACTAAACACTCAATTCTATACAAAATTATGTAATCGTTAAAGTATGTAATTATGACGCATAAATATATATTTCATATCTTATATAACAAAATGCTTATAAAATAATTTTTTTATTTTAAATATCAATTTAATTTGAAAGAGCTAAATCAGTCCCTGCTACGGGGCCTTAAGGCCCATAGCCACCTCAATCATAAACCACATTTTGGATCACGTTACAGTGTGCGCGGAGTGCACGATAGCAAATCTGCGCACGGTACGGTTGCCCTTCGTCTATAAATTCAGCCCTAGGGGACTTGTTCTCGTTTCTGTTTTGCGAGGAGAAATCCTCTGACTCGAGAGAAGGTGCTTGCAGCCGATCTCTTCGAACACTTGCACAACACTGAAAGTGAACCTCAAAAAACGAATAAACAGCACTGTTATTCCCTGTGCCAAAGTTAATTTTAATTTTCCCTCGTAATATCTCATTTATTCAGAAACCCTAGAGCTTCGCAACCGCCATGGATATACGATTCCCTTTCTCTCCGGCGGAGGTCGCCAAAGTTCGCATGGTTCAGTTTGGAATACTGAGTCCTGACGAGATCGTAATTTTCCTTATGCTATTGATCCGTTCACTTTGTTTCGGAAATTCTCAGAGAAAATTGAATCGAATATTTCCAATTTTATGGCTTATTGTTCGTGAAGCGATTGCTGGTTGATTGGTTTGTTTGTTTGCGTGTTTGTTTTACAGAGGCAAATGTCTGTGGTGCAAATCGAACACGGCGAGACAACGGAGAGGGGTAAGCCAAAGGTCGGAGGATTGAGTGACCCTCGGCTTGGAACTATTGACAGAAAGTTGAAGTGTGAGACTTGTACGGCTAGTATGGCTGAGTGCCCTGGTCACTTTGGCCACTTGGAGCTTGCCAAGCCAATGTTCCACATTGGGTTTTTGAAGACTGTGTTAACTATAATGCGTTGTGTTTGCTTCAACTGTTCTAAAATTCTGGCGGAAGAGGTAGTTAGCAAATGGACTTTGCATAGTACCAACTTAATTAGCTGTTTATGTCAGTGTGAGAATATGAGAATCCGAGTTCCACCTGCCTGATTAGCTGTCAGTTGGATTTTGAACTATTTGTGTTGGATAAATAGCAGGAAGGAACTTAGATGCTTTGTGTATGTAATTTGTTTTCTGAGTTCTTAGCTAATATTATATATTGTGACTCTAGGAAAGTGAAACGTGACGTGGTTTTTGAATTGATTGCAATTTGTGCAGAATGATCATAAGTTTAAGCAAGCTTTAAGAATCAGGAATCCAAAAAATAGGCTGAAAAAAATTCTGGATGCTTGCAAAAACAAAAGCAAGTGTGAAGGGGGAGACGAGATTGACATTCCTGGTCAAGATACTGAGGAGCCTGTCAAGAAGAGTCGTGGTGGCTGCGGTGCTCAGCAACCAAAGATTACTATTGAGGGGATGAAAATGATTGCTGAGTATAAAGCGCAAAGGAAGAAAAGTGATGATCAAGAACAGCTTCCTGAACCTGTAGAAAGGAAACAGACTCTTTCTGCAGAAAGGGTGATTGTTCTAAATTCTGAATTTTTAGTATGAGCACTTTTATGTTCACTGTTACAGAAACTAATTGTTGGTGATTTGTTATATCTGTTGAAGGTTCTTGGTGTTCTGAAAAGGATAAGTGACGAGGACTGTCAGTTGTTGGGCTTGAATCCAAAGTACGCCCGTCCTGACTGGATGATTTTACAAGTTCTTCCAATTCCTCCTCCACCTGTGAGGCCTTCTGTAATGATGGACACATCCTCCAGAAGTGAGGCAAGTGTTTTCTGACAGTTTTACATGATCGCTATGTTTACAAGTTTTGCAGGTCATTTTTTTTAATTATATTTTACTATTGATCGTAGTGACTGATATAATTTTCAAGAACAATTTTAGTCTGTGTTTTGCAATGCTGACTTTTTGTCTCTGTTGCTTGTAGGATGATTTAACTCATCAGCTGGCTATGATCATCAGGCACAATGAGAATCTGAAGAGACAGGAAAGGAATGGATCTCCTGCACATATTATTTCAGAGTTCGCTCAGTTATTACAGTTCCACATAGCAACATATTTTGATAATGAATTGCCAGGACTGCCAAGGGTATAATTGCATTCATTCTCTAGCATTTAATACTGATATACACCGTAGTTATTAATAGCGGACTATAGCGGCGCCATATAGAGCAGAGCGGCCACAAGCCACTAAAAATTCGAATAGTAGTGTTTCTAATTAGTGGCCATAGCGCTGCAGCCTAGAGTGGATTCAGAAAAATTCTTTTTTCCCCTAAAAAAGCACTGTTTTGGGGGATTTTTTACTTTTATTGTTATTTACTTGTATGTTTTGCTTAAGAGCTATGGCCTTCTATTTTTAATTATGAATATTTGTCATGGATTTTGAGCATTTATATATGCAGTATAAATTATTTAATTTGTATATAAAATTTATAAACAGTGATCATCCTGTTATAGCTATTTTTGCATTGGCCGCTAAGCACCTCTATCTAAGATTGATAACTATGATATATACTATGCTTCCTTTAACCTTCAATGATTTTGTATTTTTGATAACAAAGTAATAGCTAGTTTTTTTTTTTT